AGGCATTGTGGCTGCAGTGCTCTGAAAGGACAGAACTCTGAATTAAAAGAGACACATCAAGACCATTCGATGTCAAAACCAGAGGAAAATCCGCAAAAACTGCAGCACTCGTCACATCGATGAGCTTGGCAATGAGAGTAAGCATTTCACATTTCAGTGTCGATAAAAATGAGGCGAAACACAGACGCGAGAGGCGAACGAAAAGAGAAACATCAGTCAGTTCGTGTAGATTGTGTGACGCGACAAAGTCAAAGCAGTCAGCACAAAGTGTTTGGAGTCGTGTTGAGTCGATGTGGCGGCACAACCCAGCACACAAAGTGTTAACAACGTCTATGTTCTCCTGTGAAACGCATTCAAGACAATTGCGCACGAAAACAACGTACAACATAAAAACATTCTCAGACTCCACGCCGAGCCCAATTGTTTTTTCAACAAGTTGGAGAAGTCTGGGACTGCATGCAGTTTTGAAGTACTCAACAAATTCGTCTCTCACCATCACATCCTCCTCCCGCGAAAAGCACTGGAACAATCTCAACTCATCGATGCTGTCAATTTCTTTTGGAAGTTGTGATATTTTACGACACCGCAGTGTCGGAATTGTCTCTGTGCTCAGAATGTCTGCAACAGCTTTCTTCATCAATCAATACTTGATGATCACTTTTCTATTCCACTTTCTTTTTTTTTGTTTTATGTACTTTTTTGATATTTTAATTTATTTTCATTTTGTTTTTTTAACCAAATATTATTATAAAATATAGTTTTGTTTGTTATAATCAATTATTTATAAAAAAATATTTCAGTTTTAATTTAAAACATATATGCGATAAAAAAAATCATAATAAAATTTTAAATGTTTTATCGCGATATTTGATTTTTTGTCGAATTGGTAACTTTTTTTGAGTTTTTAACAATTTATAAAAATAAAAACAATAATTAATAACAATTTTTAATTAAATTCATAGTAACATAAATATTTTTTCAGGAAATTGAAAATTTGTGTATATTCATGAAAACAAGAAAGTAAATTACAAAGTGAATGTAAGTGTTTTACATACCCAGGAGCCTTGCCATAACAACATCTCCTTTGTGGATTGTTGTTCTTTCATTTATTTTTAAAGTTCTTAACACAAGTTCTTCGTTGATTTTCCTTCCGATTTCAACAAGTTTATCTTTTGTAAATATTCCGAAACTGGTGACTATCGTGTTAATGTAATAAACAACACATGCTTTATTTTTGCCACACGTCTGTGTTGAAATTGAAATAACACCAAATTCGTTAAGCAGGTCACTAAGAAAAACAACGGTTGTTGGAATGCGATATTTTTTAATTCTTCTATCGGCAGTTTTTTCGTCAATCCCATTTTGTATGTCAAAAATTTTTCGTTCTTTCAATCGCCTTTCAATGAATAGTTCGACATCAATGTAATCATCTTTTTGAAATTTAATTGTTTCCACGGGTATAAAAGGCAACGAAACTAGTGATTTTCCAAATGGTTTATGAACTGTAACATCTGCAAATTGTGATAAAAGTGCGATAATTACTGACTCGTTTGCCACATGACCATCTCTGATTTTTTTATAACTGTACTTTACTTTCGGAGGAGAAAGCTCCCTTCCTTTCATTTAAAATTATTTTTCAGTTACATTTTATGTAAACTGATAACACATTTACAACTTTATGATAAAATTATGTGAAACAGTCAAAATTTAACATTCAAATTGTGTCTTCTTTTTTGTTCGTATTGAAGATACTCTCGAACAACTCATTTGAAAATCACTGAGCAATTCGGTGAGTTTGTTCCTCGACAATTTGTGTTTTGACAATAGTGGAGGGTATCGCCTTGTATTTCATTGTAATATAAAAGCCTTTAAAAGGGCAAAAAAATGGGTATAATTTGATGAAGATGTATTTTTCTTTCGAGAATTGAAAAAGGGAGAATTGCTTTTACTTAACTAGAAATACTTTTTGTTTTTTTGTTGTTATAATTTGAAAATAATCCCTGTTTTTTCCAATTATTTGTTATGTAAAAATTGTTTAATACTTTTTAGTAAATTATTAATATTTTTTTTTGTAATTTTTAATTTTCTTTCTTTTTTTCTTTTTTTGTGGCAAATAAGTTTCGCCACATTTACAATGCCTTGTATTAGATAATTTGGTTAATTAATTATATTTTTACCACTTTTTAAACGTAATTTTTTATTAATTTTATAAAATGGTATTTCATTTTCGCTGTTTTCAAAGTAATTCAAAAATGCCGCAAAGAAACATAGTTATATCCTGTCAAAAAGTTGCAAACGAAGCTTCTTTGATGAGGACAGTTAAAAAGCCAAAATTTAAAATGGGTTTATTTTTGATTGGAAAGGATGTTGCGATAATAACAAAACGGGAAATCGACCAATTATTTTTTATGTTGGTTAACATAAGTTAAAAATGTTGTTAAATTATTTTTATTGGATGATATTTTTTTGATATTTTGGTTTTTATTTTCAAAATCGAAAATACCACCTTTTTCTTAAATAAGGCGGAATGTTTTTGCAAAAATATATTTTTAATTTTTCTATCCCTTTTCCTGAGGTTTTCAATACAACGCCACAAGCTACATTTGGTTTTCTTATTCAAATTTTGGCAGTTCAAAAAAAGGAAAATAAATATTATAAAAAAATGATCATATATAGTTGTAAAAAAATGCATTCTTATAATTTTTCTTAAAAGAAAAAGGCAAAATATATTTATTTGTATTCCTTCAAAAGTCTTCCAACAAACAAGAAACCGGCTGTTAACCTCCAAAACTGTATTTAGTATTAGAGTTGAATCTACATATATAAATGTTTAAAATTGGTTATTATAAATAATAATTTTGAAAAAAAGTGAATCAAATTTTTTTGTATGGATAGATTTTTTTTAATTTTATAACATTGATATTGGACATAAACTTTTCAGAGGCAGTTTTGTTGTTTAATTACAAAACAACAAACAATAAAACGCCTTGATATTTTGTAAATAATAATTGGTTGTCAAAGTATATGACAATTGCATTTTCATAATCAATAAACGATCATTTTAATCCTAATTACAATAATATCATGAAATTATTAATTTTAGTATAATGATTGATTATTTATATCAAAAACATTATTGTTAAATTTTTCATTTTAAATTACTATTTTATATTATTAATTAAATAAATTCAAATATATTCTATTATATGTATAATAATATTTTATAAAAATCTTATTATATTATTTATATAAAACAAATTAATAATTTAACTATAAAAATATATACACAAATATTTTTATTAAAAAATAATAAACTTCAAACTAAAAATACATCTTCTACATAAATTTAATATAATAATATATGATTATTATTAACTATAATTAAAACCTCAAAAGATATTATATTAAAAACAAATAGTAGTTCAAATTATAAATGGATCGGTTGAAGGAGTGGAGTTGTTGTAACTCATTTAACACAATTTACGACTCTCGTAAGGACGATTACTCCAACGAGTCTGTCCAACATGTTTTATATGGCAAACATAACATCTTTGTTTTAATTGAAACACCTGAAAACGACATATTTGGTGTATTTCACAAGACAGTCACAACACAAAAAAGAGCTGAGGGATTTTCCCCGATGAATGGTTGGGTTTGGGACTATGACCCTGAAATGTATATCTTTGTTTTGAAAAATCACACAGCGCCAGAAGCAGAGCCAAAACGTTTTGAACGCATCGGGTTTAGTGAGGCTTCTTTAGGCATTTATCTCCAAGAAAACCATTTTGAGATGGTGTATTTCATATCTGATGTTTTGTCGTTGTTAGACCCTCTTTATAAGAACAAAAGTTTCATAGCAAATGGTATTTCTAAACAGTTTAAAATGGAAGGAGATGAATTGATTGGGAGGCATGGACTTTCAGGTGGGTTTTCGATATCTCGGATGTTGATCGTTGAAGGTATTTAAATAACAGTTTTATTTTTACTATAAATAGAATTCAATATAAAAACAACGAATAACTCAGTTCAATTGTCTATTATAATTTCTTTTAATAACAAGTCTTTGAAAGCTGTGGATTTTAATATACCCGTATGTTCATAGTCCCCTAAATCATACTCCTTTGAGGCCTGCATTTGTCTGCAAAAGTTGAGTGATTGAAGTGGGACAATGCCATCACCCGGACCATAAGTGATTATAGGATCCTTTTTCAAATTTGAAGTGTAATTGTAAAATACTTCAGTCTTCTTTTTTGAACCATAAATACACGTCCAGTAGACTTCTCCTGGCATTTTAGTTGGTTCTTCTTTTTCTATTATTTCTTTTTGATAAACATATGTACCATATTCTTTCAACTCTTCAACTTTGTTTAATACTTCTATCATATCTGTTGGCTTGTAGAGACTGTTATTGTAAAACACAACAGAATCTAACCAATTTTTGTTTGGGGTCAACTTGAATACACTGAGCATTGCCCTTTCTATTGATCCAAGGTATTTCTCCGGAAATTGAACAACCTCTGAAAGACCAGTTATTAAAGCCCTTAAAGCTAGTGGTGCTCCTGTTAATGGAGCACTTACAGTTATTACCTTCCCGATATATTTCTTACAAAATTCATCGCCAAAATACTTCATTAAATTGAATATCATATTACCTCCAAAACTGTGAGTAATAATAATTACTTTCTTTTGGCTACTGTTATAAGATTTCAAAATGGCGTCTCGTGACATTTCAGCAAAGTTGTTGACTTGTAATTCACCTTTTCGAAAATCGTACCCAAGTCCAAAGATGTCTTTGTTTTCTTCGTATCCAACAGTTTTCAACTGTTGGATTACATCATAAAAGTACTTCATTTTGTCATAAAGGAATGTATGATTCTTACATGCAATAGAAGAAACTCCATCTGTAGTTGGAAAGTCTTTATAGTAGATTGTACAATTCCCAATATTTTCGAGTGTTTTCGTTTCGTTGTTCCATACCAATGAAAGTAAGCTTTGAACATGGTATTCT